TGAAATGTCAGCGAAACGAAACGTACAAACAACAACTTTCCAACACAAAAGCCGAATTTGACCTCGAACCCCACTCGGATAAGAGAGAGTTGTAGATATTCTGAGCTCAAAGGAGCGTATCGGGTTAAGCCTATCTAACAAACTGTGTATTCACAGAGACCCAGCGGGGGAACTTTGGGAAGCTAAAACCCGTCTTTACAGGGTTGAAGAGGGATAGTAATGTCGGCCATGTCCCACGAAGGTCATCATTAGCGCACAAAGCAAACCGCCCACCTTTAAAAAAAGGCGCAAAGAACTTCTTTGGAGAAACCCATCGCCTTAGTAGGTGCTTCAACCGACCGAGAACCAACCCATCCCGCCTACTCTGTCAATACTTCAAAAATGTTCTGACATGATGATGTCACAGACATCTAAAGGGTCATCCTCAAGAACTCTGACTCAACGCGTACCCCGCAAAGACTGGCATGAAGTCACAAAAGCTAAAGGGTCGCCCTCAAAAACTCAGACGGAACAAGAAGTACTCTGTAAAGACTGACATGATGTCACCGACATCTAAACCATCACCCCCGAGAACCCGGGCCCAACAAGTACCCTGTAAAGGGGGTGTTGCACCCCCGAGAACCCGGGCCCAACAAGTACCCTGTAAAGGGGGTGTTGGCAACAAGGGATACCAAAAAAGCGGGGGAAAGACGGCATCCCCGCCCTGATTCCGCCCGTCTCTGTGTAGAGAAACCCGACACCCGGTTACGTGATGTCAGAAATCCGTGCTGATAGGGTACGGATGGACACGGTTTTCGCTCCGAGCTCCCAGGCTCTTTGATAGTTGAGATCCACACATACGGAGCGTGGTAGATGCGCGTAAAAGACATATCTCAGGCTGTCAAAAGGTTACTCCTCACAGAAGGTTGTGACATACAGGTTACCGCAACTAATCATCTTCATTATAAGTATCCCTTCAACTTCTTGGTCCCTTTGAGACATTGTTGGTGGCGTCGGTAGCCTAGTGGTTAGGATACCGGACTCGTAATCGTGAGATTGCGGGTTCGGGGGTTCGAGCCTCAGCTCGGTCCGACGTTGTGTCCTTGGGAAAGGCACTTTACACGAACTTCCCACTTGGCTCGGTCCTATCGGAGACGGACGTTAAATTAGGAGGTCCAGCTTCTTAACTAACCTAATAGTGTTGATAGGGGCATTAAACTCATACCATTTCACCATATTTTTTTTGGAGACATTGTTTTGCTTTTACCCTTGCGGAAACCGTTATCTGCTGAAAGCGTTAGGATGGGGGTTCATTTTTAAAAATCGAATTTCCCTGTGCTGAATTGCATAAAAACAGCTACATTAAGCCAGTCCAAACACCTCGAAACCATGGAACGTGATATTGTTAGCATACGTGCACACAGAATGTTTAACATATCCAGAGAAAGATCTTAATCAGAATTTCCAGCAATCAGGATTTCCGCTTGGTCGGTTAGCCGCAAATCTCTTCAAAGCTATCAAACTACGTTCTCAGGAATTCGACAGCTGTCATTCTCTGTTGCTCATCTAAATGAGAGAGAGAGAGAGAGAGAGA